CAGGGAGGCTGTGGAGTCTCCTTCTCTGGAGATATTCCAGCCCCGCCTGGCCGCGGTGCTGTGCCCCCTGCTCTGGGTGACCCTGCTTGGGCAGGGGGCTGGGCTGGGTGACCCACAGAGGGCCCTTCCAACCCTGAACATTCTGTGATTCTGCTAGTTCAAATGATAATGAACCTGAGCTCACTCCAGATTCAAAACCACAGCACTAAGAACCCGCACAGAGTCACTGATCACTTTCTACAGCTTCCTTATGTGCTCCCTTTCACCTTTGGTTTGCATTTAGAGCACAAGAGCTGTGGGACAAGAACACCACCTCTACGTGCCTGGGTAGCATCCAACGCTGCACGGACCCGGTGCTGCTCAGGGTCTGCGAGCGTTGCTATGACAGGGGTTACAGCACCTGTCACACAAAAAACCAATCTGAACTGCCAAACCACATCGTGGATGCTGATCAGTGACACGATGGAGTCACCGACGGCAACCCACCTGAAAAAAACCCAGCAGTGGTCTGTCTGCCTTTCCGGCAGCAGGGGAGGAGGTGGTGGAAACTGCCAAGGAAGCCACATGAACTGGCAGAGCAAGATGTGCCATTTCTCTTCCCAATAAAAACAGGACATCCTACTGCCCTGGGACGGGAAGGCAGCTTTCTACGCCTCCAGCGGCACATTCCGCACCCTTGAATCTGCAGGGTCGATGAACCAAGAAGCGACTCTCTTCGGTGTGGTGCAGGACAACACGGAGGCCCCACATGGGACAAATATCACCGAGTCTCGAAACTCTGGTTTGGCTAACGGTGCTGAGCCTGTGGGGAAAAAAACCTGCCTGGCAGCTCGCAGGGTTGAATGCGCTCACACGGGGCGGCGCGTTGTACATGCAGCACGCCGTCCGTCTTCAGGGGTACCCAGTGGTCAGCTCACGCCACTGCGGATCCACCAGTGCTCAGGCTCACCCAGGGCTAGGCAGGGCCCATGCTCCAGCCCAGTTTGCAGTGGAAGCATGTCCCAGGCCAGGAATGGTGCCAGTCTGCCTCGCTTGCACAGCTCTGGCAGCTGGACAACTCTCTGCATAAGCAGGAGGCCGATGCACCTCACGCTTCAGTGCTGCTTCACAAGGCACTCGGAGCTGCTTGTCCTGATGCTACTTCATGGCTGAATCAGTGTTGCAAACACATCACATATTACGCTTCATTAGCTTGCAGCAATGCATATTTACACACCCACACCACCTCTCTTTGCTTCCAGAGCACTATATTCACCTAAGCTGGAAGAAGGGGCAGTGCTATCACAGCCATAGCTGCCCTAAGGCTCTATAAGGGCAAGAAAATATTCCTTCTATTGCATGTTACCACTTTCATACCTTCCCTCCTGCTGACTTCAATGGGAATAGCAGCACTCTTTTCCCTCCCTAAATATATAATGGCCCTTGCACACATCCAACACGTGTTGCTTTGTCTGTGCCAGCTTCCCTTTTCCCTCAAAGCACGGAACTGATTCACACAACGGAGCTGAATTCCGAACACCTCAACCTGTATTTAGCTGAACGTTCGCCGCACGTTTCACACCCAGCAAAGGGACTGTGCTCCCAAAGGCCTGTTTCTGCCCCACCTGTTTCGTGGGTCTAAGAAGAGATACGACCTCTCCCTATCACAACCTTGCAAAAAGAACAAAAGCACAACGAAAGTACAATTACGTTCTCTTTCCTCAGTTGCTGGAAGTGTAGTTCACTGTGGGAACCTGGCTGTTACACACTTTGGAAGTTAATTTTCCGTTGTTCTCGAGATTTGACAGTCGAATTAAGCTCTCCGTCTGCCGAGCAGGAGCACTGCCAGGACAGCCCGCAAAGCACCGACGCTGCCGGGCCAGCCAGGGCTGCACCCACAGAGCACCGTTCCTCTCTCCCTCCCAGACGGGCAGGTCCCCAGGCTCCATCCCACCTTCGCTACTTGCTACTTACATCACTGACTGGTTTTCTGCTCCAAAGCAACAGAACCAGCCATCAGTTTGGTGCAAAGAGCCAACAAACCAAAAAGGCTTCTTTCATCAAAGCTGGGACCATTCCTCGCTCATGATTTGCCCAGCTGGCAGCTGCAAAGCCAGCTCTGCCTGCGGATACAAAGAGCAAGCAGACAGGAGGAGAGCACAAAGTACTGTACAAACCATCTCAAGGGTGCTAAGGACAAGGAAGCATGGAAAGCAAGATTTCAGAACAAAACACTTGCCAAACTGGAGGAACCTCCCCTGAGGGCCTGTGGTCAATCTGGAGCACGTTTAAAACGGACAAACCAAGGCACCAGAGTAACGGAGCCCTTGGGGAAGGGGAGGACACCGCACCGAGCGGCACACAACGGCTTCCGACAGCCCATTTCCTCTGGTATCTTCCTGATTACCTGGAAACACCTCACCACATACCTTCTTCGCAGAACCGCTGCGCTTTGTGCCGTGCCATGGGCCATTTTACCACGTCATCCTCGGCTGTCACAGATACCGTTGTGACGTTGTCTCTGGGGACACTGGACACCCCAATGAGAAAGCGGGCGGTGTTACCGCAACCATAAGCTTTGGCTAAATAACTAAAAAACTACTCATACAGAGGTTTTTTGTGGGCAAGACTCTCTTGAGATTTATTTTGAACTATAAAAGACTAACAAACAATGTTGTTAGACATGCATACAAATTCCTGAAGGAGTCTAACAGCCAGGAGAGTAACAAGCAAGTGGTAGGACTAAGTCCCCGTGCAGCTCTGAACGAGCACCATAGGGTTTCTTACAGCCTGCCTGTGGGAAATGGGGAGAAAAGAGAGACTGTCACCACTGAAAATACGTAAGATTCCCAATTACAACAAAACAGAGGATCCAGTTCATGCAGAAGTCTGACCTTTTATCTTGTGCTGGCTACCTTCGCCAAGATCTGGGTGACCACTGCCCAGTAACTCGATTTTTTGTTCCCAAACTGTTAGCTTTCTTTTACACTGGGCTAAACAGAGTGTCAGCAGTAAATACAAAAGGCTTTAAGGGGATGGGAGGGGTAAGATACCTCAGCATTAGGGGTATGAAACCGGAGGAACTTTGCTCTGGCTTTGAGTCCTCCTCCATAGCAGAGCATGGCAATAAATGACAGTAAGCAGCACAGGGCACCCAATGCAGTTTTGAAACAGCTGTGGTTACGTCCCTGTAATGCAAGCATAGGAAGAGCAGAACTTCTGAGCTCACAGCCTGGGTTTACACTCCTCACGCAGGAGGCACCGGATCGGAGCAGCGAAGGCTTCAAGGGTGACCTGCAGGGGCTCTCCAACAGGGTGGCACCTCCAGCCCAGCGGGACAGAGGGACCAGGGATCGCCAGGTCAGCAGAGAACAGAACGAGGAGATGCTGCATCAGAGCTAGGGAAAAAACACCAAGGTGTCCAAAGTAGCCACGTCACAAAACCCAAACTCCTCCAGTCATTCTGGTCTCCTCACAGAGTTCAGAATCCTCCCGGGCTTTCCACATCTGCTTCTACAGTAGAAAGAGGAGTCAGCTTCAGAAACAGACTTTGGGAAGCTGGCAAGGTTGGAGCAGACACGGAGAGAGAGCTACTTCAAAAAGCCGTTTGTTTCCAAGCGACCCTTTTGCTCAGTCCGCCTGCACGCCCTCAGGAAGCTCCACCACTACAGGAGCGCAGTCATCAGGCTCTGCCTCAAAGTCCCATTTAAATCTCTCCGTGAGGTGAGCCTTGAATTTTTCAGCCTTCTTCCTTAGGGTCCCACCAACAGCAGCGCTGCATGTGCAGGAAAAAAACACCTAAAAGAACAGAGCAGAGGTCAGTAAGGACTCAGCCACGGCACAAGCTGTGCACCCCTTTCCTCCAAAGACAGCGTCAACGGGGTGCACCAGGAAAAGTTTCCGGTTAGGCCACTGGTGAGGGATCTGCCACGCTGGAAACCGCTCCAGCTTTGGGGCTAGCAGCTTCTCCTCTCATCCCACAGCCAGGGCAGACATCCTGCCTTCACCCTGCTGAGTCAGCATCAGAAATGTCTGCACTAGGGTAATAATTTTGTTTCAGGCAGGAGTATATATGTAATTAAATACGTAGGATGGAACTCTGAAATACTCTTCAGTGTGAGTGAGCAAAGAAAAATGTCTGAGCGGAAGGGGGGGCGGGGAGAGGGCTATCAGTTCTCATTTGCCACATAGCCAGTTCCACAGTGTGTGTCAAAAAGGCCAACAGGTCATCACACCCATCTCATTCACGGCTGGATGGACCAGGAGATCCCCAAGTATTTCTGTAATATGATATCCCCAGCTCCTCAGGGTACACAGGAAACCTACTCGAATTGCCTTGAAGGTAAGTGCAGAACAGGAGCTTTCTGGAAAAAAAATCCAGTTATGCCCAGCACAGCCATTCCCCTGAGCACGGGGCGCTGAACTCTGGACTAAACTCCAAGGGTGGCTCCCCTCCATCACCCAAACGCACACAAAAACACACACAAATCCATTAACTTCTCACAAATTCATAGCTTCTGTTCGCACTTTGAGAGTTGGAGCACCTGTGCACGATTAAAGAGGGCACTGAGCCTCAGAGCCCACCTCTCCTCAGCCTGCTTCTGCTCCTCTTCTGAACTTCCACGGGAAGAAATTTACATCTCAAAGCCAAATTAAAAAAATCATTGCATGGTGGAAGTGAAGGGAAAGCCCTCTGGGGAATAAAGCAGGCTCTTCTTTGGAAGAGACCTCCTGACACCTGGATGAAACTCTGACAACGAGCAGCAAAGCTCGCTGCTTTGTTTACGATCATTTGCCTTGTTCATTCCACCGTGAAGCTGCCTTGTGGTAACAGAACCCCCTCACACAGCAAGGCTGCTATTACAAAAAGAAAAAAAAAAAGATTAAAAGATTATACTTCCCACTTCTCTCCGATGAACTGCACACTAAATTAGTTATTTCATCAACTTTTTTTTTTTCTTTAAACATTGTTAGGGCTGCCTATTCAGTGGAGGTTACGCCACGCTCTTCTTGCCTTAGATCAAACTCCAAAAATAAAGTCGCTATATTCAAGGCTGAGGGAAAGCTTTATTTTTTTAATTTTCTTCTAAACCCCCCGCTTTTATTTTTTTAATTTTCTTCTAAACCCCCCCACACCGTCCTGCACTCCTTCGATCCACCTGCCCACACCCAGGTAAGCCTGTGACCTCCGAGGGCTGCGGACACAGCGTGACTGGGTAAGGCAAGTCCCAGGGGTCCCCTGGCACTGCCGCAGCGCGTCGGGGAAATCCCACAGGAGCAGAGAAGCAGAGAAATTTTAGCAAGGAGAGGCTCAGTTCGAGCATAAGGCCAATCTCTTCCTTACTAGCGACGCGGCGACTCTTGCCAGGGCTCAACAGTGATCGCTGAAGCCAGCACAGCCACCCAAGGGCACCACCTTCCACCGCGTCAGTAAAAAGCACAGACTGATGAAATCCAAGGGCCTGCAAGACTCGGGGATCCGCAAAGCAAAGATACCCAGCAAGACGGGGTGCTTCCAAACTTCCCGTCAGATGGAAAGAACGGCTGGCTGAAACCTTCTTTGTACTGCTGTAAACTGGCAGTGCAAAGTGTCGCTCTGTGAGGCTGCTGCAAACAGAGCTGCGCTTTCCAGCCCTGTAACGGGATGGAAAAAAGCCACTAAAAAAAAAAAAAAATT